GGAAGTTTACATCATTTCGTTTGTAGATAAGATGGAGAATAGTACTAAACGGGTAAAGCTTACCTGATTTGGAATGTAAATATTTTAATTTGAAAGAAAAAAATATTAATGTTTCAAAAAAATGATGTAATGTAGCAATATTATTGACTTCATGGGTTTAGAAAAATGGACGGGATTTCTTGGCATGTAATATATAAATTATATTACTATATTATTTTACCATTCCTGCCCTCTTTTTGTAGGGTTATTTGTATTTTTCCGGCAACGATTCCAAACTTAAAGTTTGTAATATAATTTGGAACTGCCAGGTTTTCTGGTTCATTATAGAATGCTGAAAAAACCACGTTGATGTAATTGTAATCCTTTTGATTGAGCCACATTGTATCTACTCTAGTAGTGTTTGGTTCGGATGAATCCGTTATAAAGCGATAGAGTTCTCTCTTCAGTCCAGTTCTTTCAATATTGGCAAGAATAGAAGTACATCGAGTAATTGTTGGGCTTCTTCTTGAAGTCACTGTTAAAAGATAATATTTTTGACTGGTTTGATTATATTGCAACATTTTGAGGGATGATTAAACTACATATCTAAATACAAGGAATGTAATTTTTATTTCTTTTTTTTTGGCATAGATTATCCTGTATGATACATGTAGTTGTTTTTTTTTAGGAAAGATTTTTCACTTACTTTGGAGTGAGTTTATATTTATAAGATACTGATATCGTGCCACTTATTAAGGATAAATAACACAAACTTTTTTTCAGAAATTGGCATTATTTTTCATAGATTTACATTTAAATTGACATCCTGAATAATGTTTACCAAGTAGAGTGTAAGAATTATATAAGATTTTGTCATAAGGTTAAAAATTGTGCAAAATTTTGTATGGAATTATATAGATGGCAAAACAGAATCTCATATCTAAGCACCAATGAAAACCTAGGATTTCTTTACATTTCAGGGATTTATTATTTATGTCATTTCAAATCAAAATCAGTCAAAAAATATATATCAACCCGCGCATCCATTTTTTGTTTGTGGTAAGTACCCCAAATATTTGATGTTTATTTGATAAAAAAGGATGATGTGTCATAGATGCTATCTTGTGCCCCTTTTTTTACGATGTATTGTATTTATTTAAGCTACATCGATTACATATGAACAATTTCTTAAACGAGGTAAGTTATTGACAAGTAAGTTCATGAAACAAGAATATCAGCAGTCTCGTTTAAAGTCATCATTTCGTAAGTTCTATGGTCGATACAATGACCTTGTCAGCAAATACGATTTATCATTGAGTCAAATGCTGACTGACGTTTTTCATACCAATTGTTAGTCCATTATTTATACACTGAATTGACAACGGATTTTTTCCGTCATTTCCTGATCATGACAACAAGCACACGGCGGGGGTGACCGGTCGGCAGGGGATGCTCACTCATCCATGACACCTGATCCCACCTTTGATGTTTCGGAGGTCTGTGTTTGCTCTGCTCTTATTTTGTATATTGTTTAATGGACTTTGAGATTGAATACTGTTCGTTATCTCCATATCCTTCTTTCAAATACTTCCGACACATTTTAATTTTAAAAATCCCCACATTATCTTTTGGTATTTTTAGACCCTCTGACAGCCGGTCTGGTTTGTTACAATATGTTTTTTTTTTAATGAAAGGATAAAAGGCGGGTTTTAGTGCAATAGAGGAATATGTATATCCGGTGAATATTCCTTATATGGTTACTGTTACATGTATTACTGTATACAGGGTTATTTTACTCCGTGCCATTTTCGCCCTTTCACACTTTAAAACAATTTGGCCTTGTTTTAAATTCGCCCAGTAGTAGTTTTGTTTTAGAAATTATACTTTATGCTTTAAATTCGTCCAGTTTTAAAATTGCCCACAGAGGATAAGGTGAAAGGGGCGAAAATTTCCTTGTAAACAGTTTTTCGCACAAAGTCGCTCACCAAGAACAATTGTCCAATCCAAATGACAGATCCTCAACACTTGCTGGTTTACATTTAATCACAGGTACGTGGTTTAGGTCAATTGATATATCTCTACTACATTTCAAACTTGGTCAGCCAAGGACTATTTAATGTAGTTTTACATAATAATACGCATGGAACCTCAGTGTTTTCACTTTTGGGTCAAAAAAACGGACATGATACCTTTGGCAAAAAATGATAATAATTACTAGACGATCTCGTTGAAAATGAACAATTGAAGTAGGTATTCAATTTTATTTGATTTTATAGGATACATGTGTGAGATCGTTCTTTAAATATAAAGAAAAAACACTTTCCGTCCCTCTATATCCAAATTGTTAGGGGCCGGAGCCTGATTTACAGAAGACTTTACGACTTATACCAAAACTTCAAGTTATTGTAAAAGTTTGCAAAATTAATAATCTTTGAAAATGTTTGTGTAAAAATATCTTATCACGTTCGTTTTAAAAAGTTAAATATAATTTTCGATATAATTTTAATTTTAAAAAGTTATAAGAAGAATTAAATTTGGTCTTAAGTAGTAAGTCATTTTGTTAAACGGACCCCAGTCCCTTTTTGTAGATATCAGGTGAATGATTTTGTAATTTTGTTCTTCTTTTAAAAAAAAAAAAAACTATTTACGGATCAAGAGATATAAAACAAGAATTATTTAAAAACTTGGAATTTCCCACATTCTTTTTTTTCTGACAATACCCAGAATCCACGCGCAGTATTTAAGAGAAAAACAAACACCTGTTGCAATTTTATCATGCTTCAGTTTCATGGCTCTTTCTGAAATCAATTATGAAAAATCCTAAAACAAACTGACTCATAAAAAATATTTTAGACCGGGAGCGACGTCATCAAAAGAGAAAAAAATATGATTCATGTTATTTTGCAGGTCCTTAAAGTTTTCATAAAAACGCAACGCAAAATTAGTTTAAAGAAAAAGGAATACCAAGAGTCTTGCGTAAAATTTAACACCCTTAACAAAGAAAAATAACAAATTCTTAGAGTAGAATTCAACAACAAATTCCATTATTCATCATAATCTACTTCATTTTCTTTCTTCGTTACAACGAAAGGACTGTTTACTAGACCTCATCCCAAAAATATCTACACATTGTTAAATGCCCTACTTGTTTTGCAGCGATGTAATCCATTCTGACCAGAAAACCCTTCGTAGCACTGACACTTTACAGAATCATTGCATGTCCCAGGAAAACAAGGGGAATGGTAAGAACATTCGGCTTAAAAAAAGAATTATGATAGAGTATCGTTATAATTAAACACAATTGCCATTTTATAGGTGCTCTGAATAGTGCTTAGTTACAAACTTATCATAAGAAGTTTTTTAGCATTTGTAAAACACTATCATCATATTACTGTATTATTATTTTTTATTATTTGTAGAATTTAAAAAATGAATGTGCAAAGAAAAGATTTTTTTATACATAAAAAAACTTACGTGTTTCGCAATGCTTTCCTGTATAAGCCTTCCTGCATGAACACGTGTCGGGGTAAATGCATGTACCACCGTTTTGACATTGTGGATAGCAAACAGCTGTAATCATGAAGCATTTTTTAAGTATTAGCCGTGTCAGGCAATGCAAGTGACATATATATAATGTTATTGTATGGATCATTCTAATATTATAGTTTGTATGATATAAATACGTACGTGTATTGCAGTCAGGTCCACGATAGGTACTCGGACATTCACACTTTCTTATTAGAGAGCAATTCCCTCCATTCAAACATGGAGGATTGCAAATGGCTGAAAAATCAAATATTCTTTTAGAAAAAATGATATGCAAAATATATTTTTGGAAGTCTAACTTCTACATTCCTCGATATCAAATATATTTTCCTAGTATCAATTGTTAGCCATACTATCGTGTTATAGACAAATTGAAATCATGTCTTATAACACGATTTTGTAAAATACAAGGAAATTTGAAATGAACATGTCAGTCATTGTCGTCATGCGCGATAGGAACTTTTTTTTCTTTTTTTTTTTTTAAGAGGTTATGTAAGTGTCAAATCTAAATTGTTCCGAAAGTGTACTTTATCATTATTTGTGGAAATAGAATAATAAGGATCCTTTTTGGATCGCAGCACTGTTAAGGCTTACTATGAGAAATTAACAGAAAATAGAAGTGCAAAAACGGGTATTGTTTTTTAAAACTGAATTTAGTTTTATTTAGCTGTTCTATTATCACAGAATACTTTTGGAAATATCACAGTATAACCAACTCTATACTGTGTGAAGTTTGGTTCCTTCGGTGGACAGTCACGTGAGGAATGCATAGTACTTGTACTGAATGTAGGTCATTAACAAATCTCATTATTGCAAGGGCATACATGTACCCTATTTGAATTCAAAAATTGAACCTATTAATTGTTTCTGCATACTTTGTACTTCTGGAAAGTGCTGCTACTTTTAATAGAATTTGCGTTTTAATAGTTAAAATTTCAAGTAAATAGGCCCATCTCGGAATATGTTTGACTTTTACCAAATATATTGCGTACTTATAAAGTCACGCTCTCGATTTATAGAAAGCAGCAGAACTTTTCAAGTTGAGGAACATATCCTCTCTTTATATTCAAAACATTGTTAAGATTTTTTTAAGTGCATGCCCTTGAGAAAGAACGATTTAATGAGGCACCTGATGTAAAATATACCTAACCTGAACATAAAAACACGACAGAATTATTTAAACACATTCTCTCAATAGTCAGTGAATAAACAAATGATATTCATAGGTATTATTAGCCTATTCTAAACCTGTAAATAATATTCAGTTTTATAATGAAACACATTTTTCATTGTTAAAAATATCCCAAATCTGTCTATCACAGTACATGAAATACGTCATTTTTACCAAAATGACGTGATGATTTACAAGTTCATCAAAATCAGCGATTTGTTTAAACCAGCTGTATGGGATTTAATTAGCGACTTTTGATAATGTATTGAAATGTTTTATTGTTGTTTATTATGCTAATACAGTTTAATGTTGTAAAATCTTTCATTATCGGGTAATATGAGGAATGCATGAGACATATTTTTGTGTGACGTCACAGTTAATTTTTCCCGAATAAATTAGGCCCCGCCCTCTTCTTCTAGCCTTAACAGTACTGCGATACTTGCGACTTCTGGTAATTTTTAATCCTTGTTTGTTTGTTTGTTTGTTTTTTTAATTCCTGTCGCGTCAATTTACTGTCTAGCTGAACTCAAGGGTTCATTTTTAGAGTGTCATTTGGATATGGAATGAAAGTCAGTCATGTGATCAAGTTTTATAACGCCCTTCTTTTTGATCACTTACGATCTTTGCATTTCGGACCAGTGAACATGCCCGCTGGACACCTACATGTATATGGACTAATACATTGGCCTCCATTCTCACAAACTGGATTACATATAGCTGAAATCATTTGCATTCTTATAATTATATATTATTATATATATTTCACATTTTAAACATTTGAAATTAGAAATTTGGTATTGATATTAACCTCCTCATACATCTTACGTTTACTATTTTTAAACATGTTTTAATAAAATCATTTTTTAAATGTCTTTACGTGTATCGCAGCGTCTACCAGTATAACCCCAGAAGCAAGTGCAAAAGCCAGGACGTATACAGGTTCCGTGCTGACAGCTAGGATAACAGACAGCTGTGATCAAAAATAAGAAACGCTCACATAAACACTCGCGGCTATAACGAAAGTTAAAGATTAAAGGATATTTGTAAACAACATGTTTTTGTTTTTTTAAATGTCACAATCGCGATTTACAACATCTAAAGATTTGTTTCTTAACTCACTGCAAACCCGACATTTTTTTATAAATTATTTTTTTCTAATTATTTTTTTTTACTCACGTGATTCACATGCTTTCCCGGTATATCCATTCTGACATCTGCATTCCTCAGGGCCTACACATGTACCATGACCATGACAAGAACTGCTGCATATAGCTAAATAAAAAATCTAGATCTGATAAAGATGATATTAAGTGTTACGTAGTTGGATACGGATTTCTTATATATGTATACCCAACTCTGTATCATTAAATTTTATTGTTGGTTTTGTGCAATCACCTGATAGTGTGATGCGAAAAGTTTCATGAATCCATATAACTTATCTCTAAAATGATGACGTATATACAGGGTACATCAATTATTTTTGCATAAAAAAAATCCTATATAAACTACTTTGTTGATTTGAATAAAGGAAAGGCGAAGCGTCTGACGACCCGCATCTGATGAATGGGTAAGATCTTTTTGGTATATTAACCAGTGTCAAAAACCCTCTCTTAATTGTGAAATTAATTTCATATTCGTCTACAAAATATAGTGGGTTGGATAAAGTGGCATTGACAAACACGAAATCAGTAGATCAAAAGGGAACCTCTTTCGTGTTACTGCTTTCTTTACTTTGTTCATCTGCAAATGTCAACTCAATATCATCCAGAACTCAGATCAACGTATTGTAGTTATAAAATATACAGGTGTAATTGAGTACTTACGTCGACAAGACCCAGACAGAATTAGACTCAGTCCATATCCATGGCAACATTTTGTAACGGTCGTTTTGCGATATCTTGCCACCAATTTATGAGCCCAGCTATATAAAGTTTATGAAAAAAAAAATCTTCAAAATGTCATTTTTTTTTTTTTTTTTTAGATTTTTGAAAATATTTTTCACAGTAATTATTACTCGTATTGTAGGTACTGTCATTAAATGGTTTTAATGTATTAGAACAATAAGATAAAACTTTCAAAAGGATTAAAAGGGACTTGTAAAAGTTCAATCTACGTCTTTGAATCCATTGCGGGGATAAGGGATATAAAACAGTATGTACCAGAAAGTAAAGGTTAGGAGATTTAAGTTTTCGAATATATGATTAGACTGAAATAATTAATAACATTAAAACAAATGCAGTTATCTTTATGTTGTTTTCTGTTTTTCATTATGTAATTTCTTTGTAGTACACTAGTCTTCGGTTCATATAGATCACAAGACTACTATATCTGCTATATAAACTAGAGAGTACTGTGAGCAATGAACTCACTAGATGATACCCCCGCCTTCAATGTAAATATAATGGCAGTGTCCATGTTTTTCTCTGGAAAATCCAAAAAAAAAATGTCAGATCAAAAAGTAAAATAGGAGGTGAACAATGGCAAAATGTAATAAAGATTTTGTGAAAGTTTCATTAAATTTCCTTCAGGAGTATGAGAGGAGTTGTAGATAAGAGATGGGTACCGAAAAGCGTAACAGACGGACGGACAGACAGACAGACGGACGGACGGATAAACATACCGATTACTATATACCCTCCCGCTTTTCAAGCTGGGAAGGTATAATAAGGAAATGAGATAATTCAATGTTTCTTGAATATAAACACTGAATACCACTTACAAGTTTGGATGTTACACTATAAAAAATATTATAAGGGTGTCAGTATTAAACTAAATTGATTTGAAATACAATAACAAGTGCAATCTGCTTGATATATTTTATGAGAACAATCCTTACCATATTCCAATTGCTCTATCGCTACACACTTCTTCCTGGTACGATTCTACTTTCTCAACTTGGTATGTACAACCGGTAGCGACACTGGAAAGATAGGTATTCTTCTGTAAGACTTTGGCAACATATACTTCAAGGACAGTTTTATTGATTTATTATCTTATTAAAATAATTGAAGTATTTTAATCTCAACAACTTTGAAGATAGTTTGCGAAGAATAATGAGATTCTAATGCAATTTTCATTAAAAGCAGGTTTGAGGTAAAGCTAGAGAAAGTTGGATTCATTTTAGTAAAGAGGGCGCTTTTAAGTGAAAGTGTTGTAAGCTATTTGGTTAATTTGATTAGTACTGTAAAATGAAGCAAAAAGACTAGTTATATATACTTATTATTAATAATCAAGCTGATTGATTCCTGTTGTAACACGTAATACCTTACCACAAGAACCTTTCATTGCAATACAACTGTGATACTCCATCATTGACAAGTATATTTTTCTACTTCTGTATTCTAATTGTCTATGCTTTAAGTTGTTGTTCATAATTTGTTCACGACTAATCTTAATATTCTTAACTAATTTTCAAATACTCTTTCCTTACATGATATTTAACTGAACGACTGCATTGCTCAAAAAGTAATCCATCTAAATCTTCTTTAAATAAGAACAGTCATGTTTGATTAAATGTAATCGTACAATGAACAAAACTATATGAAAATACAAAAGTTATGAAAACAAAAAATTAGCTGTAAAGTGTTCGTAAGATAACAAATTTAAGCTGAAATACAAACTTTATTCGGAAATTTGTAGTGTATTCTCGTAATTAAAAGCTGGACATTTTCTTTACAACAAGTCGATTATTTTCCTTTTTTATCTCAGATATTCAGTTGTTATTATGCTGTGAGGCATATGGGTAATTTATTTAGAGAACTAGCCTAAAGAAGAATAAAACAAAAGTTACAAGAGTACAGTCGGAAAGTGATTTGAGAAATGAAAACCTTGGGGACCTATTTTTTTAATAACCAAAAGGATCACAAACAACAAAGAAAAGTAACAGAGCATTAGAAATGGAATCGATGAATAAAGAAATACAGTTTTTAGATTAAAATGATTAATTTCTTCATAAAAAGTCAATCTAAATGAATTTTAATGTTTCACAAATAAATAAGCGACTGTTTTCATTTTATGGTATATTTTGTAAAAAAAAAAAAATAATAAAATTGGTCAAATATTAAAAATTTTAAATAAAAATCACAAATAAATGTTACAATAGTTAAAAAAAGGAAGGGTTTCAGCAATCTGGATGGAACAAAACCAAGCTTAAGTCATTAAACTATCTTTTAATTCAGTAAAATGGACAAAATGAAAAAAATAAATGACAGGTGTTTACATTAATTAAAAGTAGTGAAAAATTCACAGGTATGGAATAATGAATTAAACTCAATGACTATTTGATGATTGTGCATGAAAAACCGGATTTCCTTATGAACAAAATTTTGAAAAAAAAGATCTCTTTCAGATTCTGAAGTAAAATTTATACTTGATTAATACTTCATTACCCCCACCCCAATTCACAATTGATTCAAAATTCTTAATGCAATTCTTGAATCTGCACAAAAGGTCGAGTAGTTCTTGAGGAGAATGTTCTTAAAATACATTATCGTACTTTGCTAGCCCTCAAGAAACTAATGCATAAAAGTTATCGAAAGGAACATACTTGACTCAATCGCTTAAGTAAGCTTGAAAGATAAAAAAAATGACAAGATAGAGAGAGAGAGAGAGGAAGGAATGTGAGAGAGAGAGAGAAAGAGAGAGAGGGAATGAGAGAAAGAGAGAGGTCTGCTGATTGAATTTTTTTCTTTAAAAAATCAGTAAGAACATACACAATGCTACTTACGCAATTTGTCTGAACAAAACCCAGCATAAAGAGCAAATAAATAAGTTGCTCATATTGACTACTAGAAATCAAACCGACAGATTTCTTAGACAGTGTAGAAACTCTTACCACGGGAGTCTTTTATAGCAAGACAACACGGAAGAAAAA